GGAAAACAACAAACGCCTGCAGAGAGTATAGTAGATGACGATGACGACGATGGTCTCGGTGGATGTAGGACTCCCCCTTCCCCTCCTTCCCTTCTTTCCCTCGATGAAGTCTCGAGCCATGCTTCTTGTTCCTCTTTGCCTTCCTCTTCTCAGCCTTTTCCTACGGTGGGTGGTTTACCGCCTACGCCTCCTCATTCCCCGCCTTTCAAACCCATGACGCCTATTTTGCAAAGCTCGCCGCGTAAACCTATTCCGGTTGTTAAAACGGTCAAAGCGAGGAAAGCGCCAGTGGCGGCAAGGAAACCGATTTTTTACTCTTCTTAGCGTTTTGTTTCTTCTCCTCTTTCCTCATTAGAGAAGTTTTCTTCTTTGCTTTCCTACATTATTGATGCGATTGAGCGGTACAAGCGGCATGCGCACACGAGACTTCATCATCAGCACCAACACACTACCTTGTTTTTCGCTGTTTCATTGATCGCTGATTCTTACTTTTTTGCTCCGGCTATAGATGGCTTCTTCGATGCGGGAATGCTTCGTCAGGCACTCAATGCGAATCGAGCGCAGAACGAACCCGTCGAGCGCGACGTTATACGCAGGAATATTGGGAGGAGGTTGAGGCTGGCTGAGTACTGAGTGTGCAGAGGTAACCTGTTGAGTTAGGTTGGTGGGAGATTGGAGGATGGAAGGTGATGGTGCGGAGAATTTGATGTGTGAGGATGAGGAATGTGAATGGGAGATTAGCGTAGTGGCGAAGTGGGAGGAGAAGGCTAATGCAACGGCACACTCTCGATGTTGTTTGTGTGTTGGGTTTACCTAGTGTATCACTTCTGTCGGATTAACGTCTTCATAATCTATGTCCATATCGCCGTCATCCACCAAACGCACCGTTTCTCAATGTTGCTTGAACCCTTTTTCATTCTAAATACCAATGTATATGTATCTATTCCCTCAATGACATGACGCTTCTTACTCGATATTGCACAACACCACCCAAACGCTCAGTCGTCCTCTTGATCTAGTATATTTGATTCTCTACAAACTACTGCAAAGGAATAAAAGGGGGTATAAGTGACAAAAGACAATACGTCTATACATCCTCACGCAATACAAATGCCACCAAACCTGCGCTATGCTGAACCAAACCCGATTCCGCGGCCCTACAAAATGCGTAATGAAGAGAAAAGAAACGAGCACGCCATCCGACGAGCCAGCTGCAGCGTAGCTGTTGCCCACCGAAGAGGGCGTCGGCCGCAAAGAAGGCGATGCGGTCACGGCTCCGGCTACCTCCGGCCCTGTACCCAGTCAGCCCTTGAAGATACATACACAAACAGCGTGTTTACAGGAAGAGGGGAGCTAACGTACTAAGACGCTGGAGCCGCCGACAGCGGCTCTTTGTTTTCCGAGCCAGCCTTTGGGTGCTTCGCTGCGTCTTTGCAGGATGACGGTGTTGCTGAGGAGACGCTGGTTCATGTCGTACCACATGGACTTGACCAGGGCGTTTTCGCGGCGCAGGTTTTCGACTTCTTGTTGGAGTTCCACCTGTTTGTTGGAGCACTTGTTACTACCATATCCAAGGTTGCCACGTCGCTGTTCTGGAGAGGGAGGGAACGCGACATACCGAGCCCTTCTCTGACGTCTCCTTCTTTGCGAGCTCGAGTTGCTCGCGAAGTGTGCTGTTAGTTGTGAGTTGGTCTTGGAGGTCCTGCGGTTGCGGGTTAGCATGGGCGCGAGGAGATGAGTAGAGGGTATGAAAAGGGAGAGGTAGTCGGTTGGATAAGTATACTCTGGCAGCCAGGCCAAGGACAAACTTGCCACACAGTCATTCGACGATTGCATCGTGTAGTACTCGGTGCCGCCCATGGTCGACTTGGTCCTCCGCTTTGGCGAGACTAGCTGCGCCATGCGGCCCCATGTAGTTTGCCCCGTCCCAGCTGTTGAAGTAGACATGTCCGATAGCGACTTATCCTTTCCGAGATGGGTTCGATTTGGCGAAGCCGGCGAGACAAGAGTAGCCGCAGTGAACGAAGGTTCAAGCTGATGTTTCTTCATTGCCGAAACCGCTGCGTCGAACGCGGAAGAAGGCGACTTGCTATGAGAGATCTGCTTGTTACTTACCTTCTTTGCTTTGTCCAGAGCTGCTTCGGAGGATAGCACAGTCTCGGCGATCTCCGAACTTGTGGTATCTAGCACCTGCGGTTGTACTTCTGCCGGGGCTTTGATGACAGACTCTATCCGTTCACGCATCTCCCGTATTGTTTCGACTCGCTTGAGCTCAAGAAGCTCTGGCGGTAGGTTTTGGCGATCGAGCAACGCTGCTCGTAAGAGACCCTGCTTCTCCGCGTTCGCAACTTCGAGCTCCCGTAGTCTGTCGTTGGTCCTCTCTTGCAGTACCAGTAGGCGCTCGTGTTCCTTTTGGACAGCAGCTGTGCGCGTATCGTCGTCGATGTCAGATTCTAGCAGAGTTAGCACAATCACATAGATGAATCGGAATGCATACTCCTGTTGAGTTCGTTGCGAAGTTCCGCCATTTGCAGGTCTTGTTCTCGTAACCGGCGACGAAGTTCTTCCAGCTCGGTTTGAGCAGTCTGTAGCTTTTCGTTCTGTTCCAGGAAGGGTCTGCGGACGTGTGATTAGTAATGCCCGATCAATATGAAGCAGTCACTTACTTCTGGCTGTTCTCATCCTTCTCCGTCATCATATCAGACCGTAGACCTAAATTCTCCTGCATCTGCTTGAGTGTCTCGCTTTCCAGCGACTTCAAACGGACATTCAAAATATCGACCCGTTGCTGTAGAGCAATCGCATCTGCGCTCACCCTTCCATCAGACGCGGGCTTTGTGTCGGTGTCCTGATTGGCGTTCTCGTCTTGTTCAAGCTCGTCTTCCAGACTTCCGCCACGATCAGCATGATTGGATGATTCTAGTTCTCGTATCCGTTCTTCGAGCTCTTGTTTGGCATCTTCGGCTTTGTACTGTAGTTCACGAGTCTGTTCCAATTGCTTCATAAGGAGGAGGTTCTCATGCTCGATTCGGGTGCGCTTGCCCTTTTCTTCAAAGATGGCCTGCTCTCCGTTGGCAAGCGTCTGACCGTTCTCTTTGATGATGTTCTGCAGGATATCGATGCGCTCCTCGACGCCTTCGAGCTGAGCTAACCGTTCACGAGCTTGTTGGTAGTCTTCGCGTAGCGTCTCTAGTTGTTTGGTTTCCTTAGTCAGAGACTCGATCTTCTTCTTCAGGTTCTCGTTTGCCTTGGCTTTCTGGCTCAGCTCGTCGCGTTCGGCCTTGACGACTTGCAGCTGATCTCGCAAGTCCTGTTTGGATCCTTCCTCGCCCTCTAGTCGATCGAGACGTCGCTTCTGGCTTTCCATGATCTCTCTCGTATGCGCGAGGTCTTGTTCGAGCTGGTCGATGTACTGTCTGTCGCGCAGCAAGTCGTTCCGTAAGTTTTCGACATCGTCCGATTGAGCGCGTTGTGCCTGGCCGGCCCGAACGTCGAGATAGGCAGTCGCTTCTGCGACTTCCTCTTCGAGCTTGGATATGCGTTCCCGTGAGGTCTTGAGCTCCTCAAGAAGCTTTCCAACCTGTGCCTTGAGTGCTTGCCTGTCCTTGTTCGCCTCGAACAGCTGTGCCTCCTGCTCCAACTCGTTGCCTGCCGGGGGTGGCTGGCCAGATATTGCTCGTGTGGGCGTTCTATACCCTGAGAGAACTGGCTCTGAAGTCAGCTCGGCATCGACGCCTAGTTCCGACATGCGTTGGTCCAAGGCCTGCATCTCTTGTATGGCTTCGGCAATCGTCTCGGCCGTCTTCTGGCCCAGCTTGGGCATGACCTGCAGCATGCGCTGGTTGCTTCGCGGCGAGAAGCATGCGGCCAGTAGCACAGCCATGGTGAGCTTTGCAACCAGCATTGTTGATCCATCCCTCGCGCCTGCCTTGAGATCTGGTATCATGCGCTTGGTGAGCACGGGCAGCTGCTCGCATTCTTCGCGTATGTAGGTCGAGGTTGTGCGCTCGATATATTTGAGGTTCTGCCATCGCGGTATCCAATTGTCTGATTGGCGGCGGTGGTTCTCTTCGAAATTTGGGAGGGACTCGTTGAAGTAGTCGGCGTCGATGTCGGCGAGGATCTGCCACAGTATCTGGCCGTCTTCGAGCTGGCTCAGCGACGTGATTCTGTGGGGGAGGTCGAAGGTGTTGACCTAGACGCGACTGTCAGCTATTCCACTCGGACGTGTAGGAGGCGGCACGTGGAGACGTACCCAGTCGAGGAGAGCCTTGAGCAGCTCGGGCTTGAAATCGTCCATGGTGGAGTGTCGCGGGGCCTGGTACCCGCGTGTCGGTCTGTCAATGCTGTTATGCGGTGCGAGTAGAGTGAATAACAGTCATGCATCTCGGTGTCTGTGGTTTTGCGGTGAAGTGTACGTGCTCCACCATGCACAGGCTGAGTCCTTGCTCGAGGACGTGTCGCGCGCGTCGGTGAGGTTGGGAGCCCGAACGCTAAGCCGGAATGCAGCACATGCCCGCGGCGACGTCGTGAATCGGTGTGTAGCGAGGCGTAGAGTCGTGCGATGGGCGTCGAGTGAGGGGCATCAGCCTGACATTCCCTAATTGCCTTTTGACAGACGGAACATGACGCGCATAAAGCCGCCGCTGTTCTGAGACGACGTGCACGGGCAGGCCACCCGCGGGGAAGGAAAGAGCCGCTGCAGGGTTCCACCACCTTACCCTACGGTGATCACAACAGTCTCGAGCGGAGCGACAATTTGCAGTAGTGATGCGTATGGCTATTGAATATCTTGGTGTTGCCCACAGTCAATGTGGAGGACGGGTTTAATGTGTTCTACACAAATCAGAATAATGATGGATTGTCTAGTTGACATTCTCGTCCAACTCCACCCTGTCCGATCCTTGAGCAGACTCCAGACTCCAGTCGTATAATCATGAGCGCAATTAACTAAAGGGCCGTTCCTTCCAATTTGTTGCCCTCTTCCTTTCCCATCCAGCCTACTCCTTGTTGTTCTGCGTGGTGACGATGCCATCCTCCTCGATCTCGCACTTGTACACGTCGCTCAACGTCGACACCATATCGAGAGCGGCAGCGGGGGCGGTGGCAGCAAAGCCCTTGATGATGTTGTACTCGTGGGTAATGACGCCTGTAATTTTGTTAGCATATGTCCTCTACGGTATCGCATGCCTCGTACCCTTGGCCTGTCGGATAGCCTCCTTGCTCTGCTCGACAATGTCGTCGGGTGTGTCGTTGGGCCAGCTGATGATGACGGAGCGGTGGGGTGCGCTAGCCATGACGAAGGCAGCGAGGAGCGCAACGAGGAAGGAGAAGATGGCGAAGCGCATTATGTCTTGGGCGACTTGGGGCTGCGGTTGCGGTGCCGGAAGACGGTTAAGAAGAGTGAGAGCGTCAGGCGGCCGTCTTATCGTTGAAATGCTTTTGGACGTCGCGAGAAGTTTACTGGTGGTGCTCGGCGTGGTTTGTAGGTGTCTAGGAGCGACTGGGCAGGTGCATGTTTCAAATGGCTGGTCCCGAGCCGAAGTTCAAAGCGCGTCATCGCCTCACATGTCAAACGGCAGTCGCTCCGCAGGACCCCTCGTCACATCGATGCAACCTTGGCCATAATTCATTGCAACATCGTCACTGCCATGTCTTTGCTGTTTCCATTCACCTCGACGATAGTACAACATCACGCAAGTGCATACCAAGTTTGGAATATGATCCTGTATTCATGTACATAGACTTGCCACCTAGCTCCAGGCTCACGGCAAGTGCCATTGCAAGGGGTAGGTGAAAATGAAGAGGCCGCCCATACGGCGACAGTGCTCGTGCTGTTCGTTTTCGTGCTCATGCTGAAACGTTCCTTTTAGTGCACCAAGGTGCCGTATCGTGAAGACAAGTGATGGCTGGGGAAAATGAAGGGATAGAATACAATCAATGAAGGGGCAAGGGAAGAACGCCGTGTAGCCCAGATCCGTACGCCGAATATGCCGAATGCTGCCGAGGCCGCGCGATGATGCTCGTGTAGTCGTACTATACAAGATCGATCCGCCCAATCAGACAGACAGGACCGATACATGGAAGAAAGATCAAACCATCAAAATGACAACGCCAACACCAGTGTACTCTACTGGTAAGCATGTTGCGTAGTGATGTGCTTTTGGACAGACCGTAGCTCGTCAAATCATAACCTCGTTGACCGCTTGGCTCTTCTAGAACCAGCTGCCGTTGCCGCCGTTGGTCTGAGGGATGCCGTACTGGTGCTGCTGCTGGTAGCCAGCGTAGCCCTGACGGTTGTCCTGAACCGGGTTGTGCATGTGGTGCGGGTTGCTCAAGCGGTGCGGCTGGCGGTGAGGTTGAGGTGAAATGATGCTCGGACCATAGTTTGCGGTCGCAGTATACATGGGTGTCTGGTAGCCAGAGGAACCGTTGGGAGGCTGGTACTGTGCCGGGGCCTGGTTGAAGACCGAGCTCGACTCAGAACCTGGCCCAGCGCCGGGTGAACCTTGGCCAGATGAAGTACGGCCAGTGTAGGCAGCCAGGCGGCTCTCGCGCTCGCTAACCTTGCTCATGATGCGACGACCGTAAGGGGTCTGGCGGATGGATGGCAGAATCGGACGCATGGCCTCGATCAGGTGCACGCACAGCTCGGCGGGAGCAAACTCGAGTGCAGTCTGGATAACGTAGTTGCCGTAAGAGTCGCGCATGAGCTGCTCAAGCTGCTCGACGTCAAGCAACTCCTCAATCATCATGCCCTTGACGTGCGGCTCAGCGCAGCGGATGCACTTCTCGATAACGTTGGAACTGAACTTCTGCTTGGACAGCTCGCAAATCTTGGTCTGGAAGCCCTGGCACATGGGGGTCGTGAAGGCCGCATCGTTGAGGTCGAGGATGTACTGAACCACGTAGTTGCCAAATGGATCCTGCACAAGGTGGAAGCTGTGGGCAGTGATCTTGCGAATCAAATCGACCTTCTGGAAACCGACTGCGTGATCAATGCAACGCTGTAGAACACAGCATCCATGGCGGTGGGTACCAACAGTGATGCAGTTCTCGCCTACAGCATCGAAGATGAACTGGGCCTCCACAGACTTGAGGTGGTTCAGGCACTTCTGAATGACGTGGTTGCCGTTCAGATCCTGGATGAGATCGACAACCTGTCCAGACAATGCGTGAATGATCATCTGAGTCTGGGGACGGATTAGCTCGGGAGCGGGATAATACCGAGGGTCATAGTATACCTGATCATCGGTGGAGATGAACTCGATCATCTTCTGCAAAGCGCGAGTGCCGTGCTGGTTGAACGCAATCTGAACCATCGCAGGAGAAGCGTTGCGGACAAGAGTGTTGCGCTGCTCATCGTTACAGTACTCCAGCAACTTCTGGCAGAGGTAGTTGCCGAAAGGATCAGTCATGAGTTCAACGACGTGAGGGGCAGTCTCATCAAAGATGATCTGTATGTTCTCCGCGTTGCGCTCCTCGAGCTTCTTCTGCAGGAACCGACAACCATGTTGATCCTTGCACAGACTGTAGATCTCATGACGGGGCATGGTCTTCAGATCGTAGTTCATGTACTTGTTGGCGTCGTTCTGCAGACGACGGCTCTGAATGACGCGAGCCTGACTGTCCTGTACGCGACCGCCTGGGCCATAGGTAGCGTATGGGTTGTACTGCGACGGTCCGTTACCGTACATGTTGGTGGGAGCGTAAGCAGTGGGTCCACCGTACTGAGGACCGGGCCCACCTCCAAGGTTGAGACCATTCAAAGCACCGTTCAGCATGTTCATACCGTATCCATAGTATCCTGGGTTGGCAGCGGAAACACTCGAGTACTGCGACATGGCTGGTGAACCGACAGTCGACGAGACTCCGCCGTTGCCGTTGGCAGCTGAAGTCATACCAGGACCGAAAGGTGCAGCGCTTGCGTGCAAGCCTGACTGCGGAGAACGGTACTCAGACTCGCGATTACCGAGTGAGAGGTCGCGGCTGTTACGGTTGGACAGGACATTTGACGGAATGCGACCAAGGCTAGCGTTGTGGTTGTGGAACTGCTGCGAGTGCGTGAAACCAATACTATTGGCGCCGTTCGCTCCATTCTTCAGGGTCGGAACGTCGTTTGTTGAGTACGACTGAGTCAACTTGGGCATGCCGTTGGTCGGGCCGCCGTAACTGGAGCGCTTGGACTCGTTGGCCTTGGGGCTGAAGCTGAACTCGACCGAGCGACGGTTGTTCTTGGGCGTGGTCTCGGCGCCGTTGGATCGACCGGACTCATAGTCGTCCATCTGAGAAGCTTTACGGAAAGTGTTAGCAGGAAGGGACTGTTGAGCCTGACGATGACGGTGTCCGTTCCAACCAGTGGACTGAGCATCCGGGCCAGGGGACTGTGAAAGGGCCAAATCAAGTGCAGCGGAAGAGGCAGAGAGATTCGTACCATTACCAGCACCATCGCGGCGGACCAAGACTGGGAAGTCGTCCTTGGTATTACCCATCTGGAGGAAAGCCTTCTGATCTTGAGTGGCAGCTGATGCGTCATCACCAAACAAGAAGCCGGCAGTATCAATATGACCAAGAAGCGAGCCCACATCTGGAAGATTTCCGCGGTTGCCGTAGTCCATTCTAGTAACGGGCATGGACATACGGTTGTTCCTATTTGGGTTAGCAGTGTTTGAGGTGATGTTGTGCTGGGCCAACTTACTTGCGCGCGGCCGGACTCAGAGGAGTAAAGTCGTCGTTCTCAAAGTCGTCGTGCTCCTCCTCAGAGTTGCGACGGGATCCTGGCATCGAGTGCGAAGGCAAGTTGCCGTTGCTCTGGAAGTTGGCGGGAGGGGAGGTGACCTGGGAGTTGGCACGGCTACCGCGTGTGGTCATACCCGGGTTGATACTGGACATGCTGAAACGGTTCGGACGCGACAAAGCGGACGGGAACCCGTTGCTCTCGTTGTACTCGGGCGGGGTAGTGGGCTGGCTATGCGCAGGTCCGCCGTAGTGAGCATCAGCCGAGAATCGGTTGTTGTCACTCTCGCCGTGCTGGGCTTGCAAGTTGAGGAGCTCCATCTCAGCGTCGAATCGCCGTTTTGCTTCTTTGAGATACTCGTGTTCAATCCGTTTTCTCTCAAGCTAGCAAGCTGTTAGCTGGTCACACGGACCGGCGAGGGTGTTTGAGCGCGTTTGTCGTGAGGCAACAGCGTCGCTCGTGACGTAGGACGATGCAGATGGGAAGAGATGAGGATATAGATAGGGAATAGAGTCTCAAATGAGACAGAGAAATGTACAGGAGTAATGATAGCAAAGCTAGCTTTTGGAGAGGCGGACTTTTGTGGTGGTGTAGGAGAGACAAAGGCGAAAGACAATTGTTGGTCAATATGGGCGTCGCCTGGACAGGTAGCCTTGGCAACGACTGCAATCTTACTTCCAGTAGGATTTATAGGCAACAAGTGAGAGACGCAGAAAGACGCAGTGAAGTAGACTTACAACTTGGAGCTTGTGGTACGTCTGTTGGGATTTGTCGTTAGCCCGAATTCTTGGTCACCGCGTATGTATAATAGCTAACGGGCAGCAGCTCTACCAGCGCAGCCATACTATGTCGTTCCAAGTATATCCGACATGGCTGCGGTAGCTGCTGAGTACCGACATGCAAAGCGCCGCGGAGCCCCAACACTGAACATCTGCCTCTTACGTGTACGAGAGTGCCCACATACCGCTGTAGTAAACTCGGCCGGCTCTGCCGCCTGTCTACGTTGTTGTCCGATTGGCGACAGAGGCGTGCTCATGGTCGGAATGTTGTTGGTCGTGAAGCGGCGCTGCAGGGTCGCGCGGCCATCGCCGTTCTGAGCGGCGCGATTCAGGGAAAGGAACGACTGCTCTTCGCGCGGGGATCTGAGGCCGTTGCCTCCTCCCATGCCTTGGTAGGCCATACTGGCTAGAATACTAGAAATACACTGCCGTCACGTCAGCGCGACTGCCCTGGGAGTTGGTGTGGGGGATTGGCGGGCGGTGTGAAGTTCACATGGCAGCCGCGACCGCTTCGCTGGAGACACGGAAGGCGCATTTACATACAGATAATTCGTACACGGGGCAAATGCCCTTGCTGCCCTCGCTGCTCGCTGTTCGTGGTCGTACAGAGTCGGGACGGAAGCGTGGTTGGAGGCTCGGTACGTAGGCAGGAACGGAAGTCGCTGTGGTGCGGGTCGCAGCAGCGCGCACTCGATGGCCTATGCACAGCACGAGTCGTGGGTAAGGACAGTCGGAGCAAGTCTGGAAGGGTTGGCCAACAGTTCAACTTCGGGCGCCGAAAGAGCAAGTCTATAGATGGAGCGGGAGTGGAGCGTTGGACTCGAAAGCTCAGGGTCCATCACTGATCAGGGGACGATGTGGCGCTCAACTAGTGCTGGGTGGGATTCCGCACATATTGCCCATCTGCTGGTCGCGTACTCTGCCCAATTGAGGTTTTGGACCCTCCTGTTCTCCCGCAGCTGTCTACTGTACATGCGCAGCTACTGTAGAGACTATCTAGCACGCAAACGCGCATCGCATCCCAGGATTAAACATACGTTGTAGTCATGGCTTCGGAACGCGGTGCTAATCGAATCTGGCAACCCATCTTGTATGTGTCGTCCCAGCCTTTGTGCAGCTCCGCGCAGCTGTCACAGCCTTCCGCTATCCAACGCGGCCCACTCTAACTCGATATGCGCGGCAAACGTGGTTCTGAATGCTTCTCTACAGCGCGTTCCAGGCCCCTGGAGTGGGATGGAGATGCCGGCGGGCGGTGCGCAATGCCCTCACGTCATCCGGCAGCTCTTCGCCCAAGAGTCCCCCAGCCAGTCAGGGTTGCAGCATCTAGTAGTACCGCAATAAGTACTAGGAGGGGCAGTGTAGCTTCCACGGCCGAAGGACTGGCGGGGCATCGATCGTCTCAAACACCGACGTATGCCGCTACGCGTGCCGCGCCATTCTGGTAGACATGTCGTGCAGGAGGACTGAGTGTGTCTCTGACTGTCTTCTGCTACCGAAGGTTTGGTTTATTTGTCAGTAGGCGACATCGACCGACACTTGTTCAATTCCCTGGCTTTGCATCTTACCAAATGCCCATCTCTTTGCGACAATGGCGATCTTTATAAATGAGGCGCCTCGTTCTCCCATGCAGCCGATGCGGTTAGATGGGCCTGACCGCTCTCGTTTCAGAATAGAGAACCAGGCATTTCCCCGCACGTACCTTGCATCCGCCAATCAGCAGAGGAATCAGGGTGGGCTCCGTGGAACCGGCTAAAAGCAGGCCAAAGCGGTGCTCCTGTATGTAACATGGCCAGAGGAAGTAACGCATCCAGAGGCATCGAGCGCAATTCATGTCTGGTTGGCAGGCTGTTACTTGCGACTTCCTCATAAAGTTTGTCGAAGCAGGAAGCAGCAACACGTGTGCCATCGACCAATCCGGTAGCCACGCCATCGGACCTCTGCACCCGAGAAGCAATGCACGGCTGCGCCTGCCATTCCTATTTGCCACCCTCCACAGCATTCCTGCAGAATAGCCTCGGAGACTGATGCAGGGTGCCAGTGACTGCACAACGGGGTGTGCATTGTCACCGAAGTGGCTGCGTTCTTCGAAGGATCATCCAGGTTGCAATGAAGAAAAAGAAATGATTTTGCGAGGCACTTCATGTTCTACCGCAGATAGTGAACGCGCATTTTGGTTTAGCAATCTTGGTGGCTCTGCTGGTACGCATGCCTACACACTGAAGCACTTATACATATACACTTTCATGCAAGTGCCCTGTGGGGCTGCCTACAAGTAAAGAGTCTTGCAATCTTTTCCCTAGAGCTTACTGGATACTCCTCTTTTCGAGCGAAACTTTCTTGCAGTGTCTAGTTGCACAAGCACAAGAGAATGCGAAGCCGAGGCTGCGACGTCGTCCGCTCCAAGCCCGCTCAACTAGACACTTTTGGCGTCGTATGGTCCCCTCTTTTGACGCGATCGGACCCGCAGCGCGCTATATAGACCTGGAGATCATGCATAGGTGATATTTCCGATGAAATGCTTAGGTCGCGCCCTCTGACTTTCATACCTTGGAGCAAACGTAGATATGTCGAAGTTACTGCAACACGTCTTCAATATCGCTGGAACAACCGCTGGTCATATCACACTCAACCCTCTAGTCACGGCTGCTCTGCTCTGGGTGTTGACGAAAGGACCTACACAACTTCGCAGCCAACTTACAACTCGGATCCGCGCACTTCGGGACCCGTTTCGCTATGCACAGCTCGTGAAGGCTCTGAAATGGTGCCTGATAGCTGGAACAGCAAGAGTCGTCAACAAGCAGCTCAATCATGTTGCCCTGAACGCAGGCAGATTGCGAAGTGAAAAGGCGAGATGGAATTGGAGCCGCGAGGTCGCAGTCATCACAGGAGGCTGCAGTGGTATCGGAGAGCTGGTAGTGAAGAGGTTGATCAACAAGGGAATCAGAGTGGCAGTGCTAGACATTCAGCAATTGCCTCCAAGTTTGCAAGGATGTAAGGCAGATGAATACTCCCTTCGCTGAACCGCCTGGTACTAACGAAGACGACAGACGCTGGCCTCAAGTTCTTCAAATGTGACATAACCGACTCCTCTGAAGTCTACTCAGTCGCCGAGAAAGTTAAAGAAACGATGGGGGCACCTACAATCCTCATCAATAATGCAGGGCTTCTGGCATCCCACACCATCCTTACTACGTCCGACGCGTACCTCCGAAAGATCTTCGATGTAAACGTCCTCAGTAACTGGTACACCACCAAAGCTTTCCTGCCAGACATGCTCCGACACAACAAGGGCCATATCGTGACGATCGCAAGCACGGCAAGCTTCATTGGTGTCGCTGGCCTGGCAGATTATACAGCGACGAAGGCGGCTATTCTAAGCTTCCACGAAGGCATGTTTCTTGTCCCATCTCTTACTTGCAGCATGCTGACCCACGATAGCGCTCACCCAGGAACTCAAGCACCACTACAACAGCCCGAACGTGCTCACTACTTCCATACACCCTAATTGGGTCCGTACACCTTTGATAGAACCTGTGGAGCAGGAACTCAAGAGGCGAGGTTCTCCCATTCTTGAGCCGACTGCTGTTGCCGATGCAATTGTAGGACAAATCATGAGCTGCAGCGGTGGCCAGATCATCTTACCAAGCGCTGCGGGCAAGGTCAGCATGTTGAGGGGATTGCCGAATTGGGTACAGGAGAGTCTCAGAAGCGGCGTGAGCAAGACTATCTACAGTACCGTGAAATAAGTTTAATGGAATCTTGTGTGCGAGAAGTCGCAACTTTAGCGTGTTGTGCTAGGAAGTACCACACCCATCACGCACTGCATGCGGCCCCCGGGAAGAAATGTGCTGGCCTCGGCGGCACTCATGCAGCGAAACGCTTTGTGTGGTGGTACGAACATGACTTGCCGGTGCGAACCAACCCTTTACAGTAGGTTTGGGGGAAAAGCGTAGAAAACTGCATGCACTGTGCCGTGCCCTACGCATAAGGTGTGTGTGGGCTTTGCCGTGGTGCAGGTGTGCCGGTGCCATTCACATCGCTAGCGTATCGGTGAGTCGCGTCGAAAGCGCCGAGGAACGCGTCGCGTCTCACTCAATCGACCACTTTACTACAACGACACACAACATCGCCCATACCATCTCAGCCGCTGAAGAAAACGACGGAAAACATGGCAGAACTACAAGAAGATGTTCAGATGGATACCCAAGACATTGAGCTGGAGACACCGCCTTCAGATGTCTTCATGGCACCCTCAATATCCAAATCAGGCATTCTTGGCGGGAAGTCATATTCGCACTTCTCGCCCATACCCAAACAGATTGCAGACGACATGTCTGGAGAAGTCGTGCTAGGTGTCGATGAGGCTGGACGAGGTCCTGTCTTAGGTACTAGTCCCCTGTGAAAGTCTTCTTCATCACTAACACATGCAGGCCCGATGGTGTACGCCCTCTTTTACTTACCGATTGAACTCCACCATTCCCTTCTCGCCGAAACGCACCACTTTGACGATTCAAAAGTCCTTACTCCCGAAGTCCGCTCGAATCTGATGCGCAAATTGTGCACCCAAGGCTCAGATCTCTACGAAGCTGGCGGATGGGCAACACGTGTAATGTCTGCGCAAGATATCTCAGCGCACATGCTGTCCCCAAATGTGTACAATCTCAATGCGCAAGCCATGGATGCGACAATCGACCTGATCAAGGGGGTGCTGGCACAAGGCGTCAATGTCAAGGAGATCTACATCGACACAATTGGCAGACCAGAAATCTATCAGAAGAAGCTAGAGAGGATTTGGCCTACGATACGGATCACAGTCGCGAAGAAGGCCGACAGCCTATACCCCGTGGTCAGTGCAGCATCGGTATGCGCCAAAGTCACCCGAGACGCAGCCCTAGATGTCTGTTACGAACCCTATCAGAAGCGCAACACAGCGGCGAACGAAGATGCCGAAGTCAAGGTGGCTTGGGGCTCTGGGTACCCATCGGACGCGCGGACAACCACCTGGCTGAAGCAGAATATGGATCCTTTCTTTGGTTGGGGTAGCGAGACGCGCTTTTCGTGGGGAACCGCGAAAGAGCTGCTGGAAGGGAAGAAAGCAGATGTCGCTATCGACTGGCCTGCCGAAGATGACGGCAACGACATGCGCATGACGGACTTCTTCAGCGGCAAGAATGAAGGCGGCGGAGACGAATTGGTCGACTGGTTCGGGAAGCGTGTTACGCAGGAGATGGACGTATTTTGAACGCTTCATTACAGAGACTGACACCACGAGAACCGCTGAGAGAACAAAACATGCAGGGCACAATGATCGGGCGCATTTATCGGTCCGTTCCAGACCCGCACAGGGCGTCAATATTGCAAGCAGGGTCTACCAACCGGTCAGCCCTACAGAAGCAACGTCATGCCCCGACCATGGGTTTGACTCGGTTGACGTACCCGCGCGCGAGTAAATATACCATCCAGGCAACACAGGCAACCTTTGAAGGCTCCGTTTCCCCCCTGAACCGGATAAGAGATATGATTAATCCTACTAAAGCCGTTTTATCGAAAAAGGTCGGCTTCTTAGTCGGATAAGTTTTTGTTTTTCGGTATTCAAAGTTTGGAGTGCGTGCGTGTCGGTAATTGACTGTACCAACGGTTGTACATACAGTGCACCAACCATGGGCGAAAGCCCGCGCTTCACAACAACAACCGTGCTCCAACCATGTCATTATATAGAAAACTCGAGTCACCGCTTCTGCACCGCCTTCTTGGACTCCCTGTACTTGTCAGCCCCAAACGCATACTTTACACCAGACACTGAAGACGTAAACATCTTTGGCGCAATCACTTGACGCTTCGTCTACCTAATCTTATCAGGCGCAACCTATCTTTACAACGGAAAGCACTACAGTTCTCAAAATGCACAACGGCGACCTCGTTTATCAGACCCTTTCCCGAGAACTTAGCGGGTCCAGGCCGAATGGACGGAGAGGAGGAATAGCGAAGCGCGGAGAAGGTAGCCCATCCATAACACCTACCCGCCACGAGCAAGACACCGAAGCCTCGTACTTCCAGGGCGCGACGTTCACCAAAGAAGATGAAGAACCCAATCTCGACGCGTACCCTCCCTCTCCACCATTGTCGCCCAAAACGACAGTACCACCAAAAGCGCCAACAAGACACCTCGCAGAACGCAAACGTGGCCATGTGCGTCATCGCACATCGTTGAAGCGCAGATCGAGCTGGAACCCGAATCTCAAGCAAGAGTTCCTACGACGGGCTTCGATCGACTCTATAATCGCTCCGTTCAAGGACACAATATGGCTTGACTCAGAACGTGGAGTCACGTCTGTGCGAAGGAGAAGCAGCGCGATGACTACCGGCGCCAGATCAATATCACCTCGTAGTCATGGAGACAGGCGCAAGCCGCGGAAGCAGTCGACACTGCTGCACCCATCGTCGCCGGATGTCAAGCCTGTGGCTGATATCACTCCTGTCCATGCTGCCCCCGTGTTCAGAGGGACACATGGGTGGGATGCGTCAGTCGACTTTCCGACTCTTCGACCTGCTATGCCGGCCAGGAAAGGCTCATCGCTTTTACATCCATCGCGCCCTTCGATCGACACTCTTGAACATAGGGAGCTGAAGACTGTCTTCTCTTTTCCGCCAAACCGTCTATGGGAAGATGACCGTCGCCGCTGAAACCCTTGTTCACTGGAGCTTCAGCTTTTTGAACCAGCAGCTGCAATGCTTTTCATGATGTCGTCCCTGTCATGTGAACGTCAGTTGAACGAAGTAGCGGTGGTAATCCGGTCAATGTACCTAGGTACAAAGTCACTACTAGTGCCACACCAACGTTCATCCGGCTTAGTGTTCCCCGCATTCATTCAACGTTTATGCTTCAGTCGCCACTGCCGTCTATAAGTCGGCTGGTGTTTTGTTCTCATTCCACAAAGCTTGCATCGCACTACATCCGCTCCCAACGATAGTGCATCACCAAAGGGCGAGACCATGACACCACGAAACACAAACTTACCTTCTCGCCGCGACTTTCTCAGGGACAACCTCGTCGTCCACGACAAATGCGCTATCTGTACAGAGCCATTCGATACGGAACATCAAGCAGCATCCATCAAGACAACGAATTGCCAACACACATTTGGAATAGAATGTCTGACCCGGTGGATAGAATCCGACCGGGACAACCACAACACCTGTCCCCTCTGCAGAGAACAGCTATTCTCCAAAATCGACAAGCCCGAATTTGTCGAAGGAGCACGAGACATAGTAGGCCCACATTACACAATGGCCCACCAGATCCAGACCTGGAAGCCGGCCAAAACATTCGTCAAGAACATGTGGCGTGCCATGTACAGGCTCTACAAACGAGATCAGGTCATTTACGACTCTGACATTGAAGAGCATATCAACGCTAGGATGGTTCCTGGATTCTATATATTCAGTGACCATTGGCCTGGAATCAGGGAAGAAGCTCAGAGGATGGTGCGAGAACACTATAGAAACGGGAGCTATGTTCCGCTCATAGGAATGCAGCTTAGATTTTACCTGTACAACGTCGAGAGCGTGTTGGAATGGCAGATTGGAGACGAAGAATCGGAACATGAGGTGTCAGGTGATGAACCATCAGATGATGAGGCGTCAGATGTTGAAGATAACGACGATGATATGTCGATGGCGGATTCAACGGAGTAAAAAGTCTAGGAAGCTTTCGGTCAGCTCTATCACCTGCTTTGCGCGCCCTGTACCAAAGCCGAGTACTCTTTCTTATTTGCGAGTCGAAGACGTCCGATAACTGTAGTCGTACATGCGGCGTTATCATTTCCATTCTTTTCTGTATCAAAGCCTCACGATAGTGTACTATACGGTTTCCGCCGCTTCTTAGCAATTTGGCGTTGAGCAAAGCCATCTGCGCGCTCTTACCGCATTGGGCCAATTTTACACTCACCACGACATCTACACCGCGCCTTCCCCGCTGGTGAGAGCACGTTTGCCAAGACATTCGGGATACAAACAGCGTCTGCCTACTACTGATCTGAATACTTACACCTTCCGGAATCGCAAGCACGACGACCATGGGCGCGCCATTGAAGGACCGCGATACTTTCCTTGAACAGGGCATCGAGACGGACGTACTTTGTGAGCTATGCGAGCGAACTATCATATGTAAGAGCAGATAATCCTCCTCTGCCAGTTTTCTGATTGCTGATTCAGGTATTCTAGCACGAGAGACAGTCTGCCGCATAAAAACCAACTTGCATACCTGTCACGGAGTCTACTGCGATGTATGTCTCTATAGTCATCTGGAGTACGACAACACTTGTCCGATTCATGAAGATGTCGTCCTCTTCCATGTCCCACAACCTGAATTCGTACATGGAGACCGTAGAGCCGCCGATACTCTCGATCAAACAACGGATCACAACGAAGCTTCGGATTTCGTTTGCCGATTGTTTCATACCACCAAGATTCTACGCGACTACAAGCAGATATTCGACTCCGACATCAAGGAACAGATCAATGCGGCTCTGGCAGACATCGGGGAGCGCTACAATCACAAGTTCGGGTTACTTATCAAGGACGAGCACATGGCTGGTGTTATAGACATTGCTAGAGAGATGGTCAAGATGCACTTCAAGGTCCTGGAGACGGCTGTGGTAGGAGAAACTTATGTAGCCCAAGAGTTCCTACCGAAGATGGACGAGGCTGTGGGATGGAATCATGCACGCGGATTTGGCTGGTAGTACATACGCGCGTCGCTTGTACATTAGCTGCCTTGCACGCCCAAGACGGATGGAAGGCGACACAATGATGCAGCGAAGGGACACTGGATACACAACTGAGGTCTTGTTTATCAGTCATCAAGTGGACGAAAAAGGTAGACTTTACCATGGAGCTTCTCTAGTGTGTCTTGTCGCTGCTGATGACTTCCATTTCTTCCTTTTTTCAACGTCATCAATTTGACACGCGCGCTCTTGACGCACGACAAAAGAAAATCTTCCAGGGCTAACAACCCAAAATTTTAATGCCACCGTCATCGGCGTGCTAAAAATCTGCCTCAACCACCCAAACCTAACAGTCTCTTCTCAAGCGCCTCGCAAGCCATCTCTCCCAAGCGCCAGTCTTACTTCCGCCTCGAGTTTGCCTCAAACACCTTCCACTCCTCGACAGACTCCAGTAGTCTCTCTTTGCTCCAACCTCTTTCCAATCCCAACTTATACGCAGCGCATGCGCTTTGGTAGATGTTGAGATCGTCGATCTTCAGGAGCTCGCTGGATGCCGAGCGCTTGACTTCCTGCTTCAACTGGTAGTTGGCAGTTGCCATGGGGAGCTGCATGGCGCTTGAGATCGCCTCGGCGATGCTTTCCCCGAAACCTTTCGCGTGTCCGATATTGGAGTCAGTTGGTGTTTTGGCTGATATGAGCTCGCCATCATCTTTGGCGTTGTTGCTGACTGCTCTTAGTGGGTTTGTGAAGCCCAGGTCTTGCAGCTTCTGACAAGGTTAGTCGCTGGAATGGTGCAAGTGTGCAGTTTGACGTCGCTCACTTGGTTTTTCTCTTTCGCTGTTGCTGGTTCGCGGTTTGGGAGGTTCTTGTTGGGATTCATGATGGTTCGGCGCAGTTCTTAAGTGATTTCCTGTGGTTGCGGTACTCGCTCAGGCAAGTAATCGTATGGCTTGGGTGATATAGGAAGCGAGAAGTGACTGCCCGCAATTACTGAAGATATTTGAGACTTCCCGGTTGATCACCGAGTGATTGCAGGAGCGGTGTACCCAGGTCTCTCTCACCTTCTTCACCAATCACTCTGTGAACAGCGCAGGCTAGGAATGATAGATCTTCCATGCACTCCGAACAAAGGCGACACCTTGACTTCGTCTGTAATTGCAATAGGAGCGCAAAGCACTTATCGTTGCAGGCGCGGTGATGTTGTGCGCAATGAGGTTTAAGATCGTGACTTCGCAAAGAGTGGCTGGTGCATTTTGTAGAAGTATACCACGATGTACGGAGATAACATGAATAGTTTCATGGTAACTATGACAGTGAATAACCAGAACTTACTTCATAGCTCGAGAGTTCGCGACGAGACATCCGATGTCGTGAAGCAGAACATGTAAAACAGCCAAAGGATAACTCCTTTGCAGTGATCTCGTTGCGCAGCAGGATAGCAAGCTTAGATTTGAATCATGACTCCCGCGTACATTCTACTTTCTTTGTTCAGGAGGGTTTTGGTGATGGTGTTCCGCCAAACCTCAAAAAAACTCCCTTCTCCTCCACCACAACCACACCCCTCCCACACAGCACCACAACGTCTAGAACGCCAAAAAGAATGCATCGGCCGGGAATCGAACCCGGGGCTAGCCGAAACTGTCCTGTGAAGGATGGCAACGGCTAATTTTACCACTAAACCACCGATGCGAAAAGATGGATGCTAAGACAGCTGGAGCTGTGAATGTGACCTAACCAGGGGTCGCAGCGGGGGTGTCAGCTTTGCGATTCGAATAGGAGGCTTCTGAGAGCTACTTACAACCTGGAATCTCTTGATATCGAACGGAGTCGTAGTCAAGCGCCTTGCCATTGGGCCATTAGGCCAGTTGTTGCTTAGTAATGATGGAAAGATGTTGATGGTGATTGTATATAATGACAAACATTGATAGATAACGAGGTTTGAAGTTTGCTGGTATGCAAGAGGTGGTTTGGTGGGGCAGTGTCGCGGCAAACTTTTCTCTAGTGAGGGGATTCGATGGTGGGGCATGTCGACCGACCCTGTCAGGAACACCATCTTCATTACCTGAGCAGATCTGCAACTGTCTCTACCTGCGCGGTTCAGTTAGCATCTACAGATTTGTCAACATGCTTCGCATGCCTTTTGTGTTCCTCGATGAACCCCGTGTCGGTCCAGTTGTTAGAGCTGGTATCTACGACTACGCCGGAGTCGACCGAGCTTCAGACTGTGATCCAGCAAGGCAAAATATCTTCGACGTGGGCCATGAATGATTCCAAAACACTCCCATGGTATGATAACCATTCTGTTTAGTCCCATGAACAAAGTCTGGGCATTTCTTTGCCCTCTCGTCGGCATGCCAATCGAATAAGAGGCTTATCGTGAGAAATCCAACGCGGAGGTAACGAGGTGTTGTGGTATCAATTTTCGCTCCATGCCTGCAATTCTTCCAGGCTTCTCACCATTCTTCAAGAACGTTCGCGTTTACGACGCTTCATTCATACTTTTGAGGAAATGCGTGAAGCGGCGCGTCGACATCCATACTCTTACCGACATTTCACGTCTCCAAAGTAAATCTGTCCAACCTCACAGACACCGTGCGAGCGAGATACGACCGTGCCAATTCTGTAAGGCGGGGAAAGCGACTAGTTGAATCCTATCGATGGCACTGGGCACTATTCGAATCAAGCTGCCCGCGTCGTGCAGCTCGCACTGGCTTTCGATAGCAGGAGCGCTTAGGTCTCTGCGGAAGGCATGTGCACTCAGTGCTTTTCGCTGTCGTAAGGTACCTAACAGGCTATCCATTTGGGGCAAGAAGAGCGGTCGTATCCATGTTGTGGTATCTGAATATCCAACAGCTCCAAGGGCTTGGTATGTAGTGGAATTGAGCCTCTCAGTCGCGCGCGTTACCCGTTGAGGTAGATTTGTATGCGACTCCAGTCACACCGAATCCACAAAATCGACGTCATTAAACCCCATACTCTAGCACTGCCACCACCATGATAACATGTTCAAGCGCTTTCTGTCTCTTATCCGCAGGTCTTCAGGGCAACTGCGCCAAGCCGGCAGTCATCCGGCGCGGCGTGTTGCTTGCCTTATTCTTCAACCACGGATCTCTGCCTGTTCGCTTCTAGTGTAAGATAAACAATGAACATGGGGTACGGCGCAGTAGTCGCTGCCAGGTATACTGCTTCCAATCAACCTAGTCCTGACCACTTTAGGCGGGCAACGATGGCTCTTATGCAGCATAGCCAACTACTCCGGAGTATATCATGGCTAACATGTCCTCTATATAGTATAATCACGTTGCTTACTTTGATACGTTCTTTTCCGCAGCTACGACCTAGCCAAATACGATGGCTACTTCAGATTTCCTACCCGCCTATTTACTCATAGTAATCACTCTCTTACAGTCCTGTTTCGCCCAGCTCAACGATAACACACCATGGTGTCCTATTACAACGCCTACGTACAACTCCTCTGGTCAGACCGGGTTTCAGATGACATCCAAGGAAGACTGGTATATATCGCTCGCCGTGAACGACCGCCGGGGGTTTAGTTACAGTTCGACTACTGCTTATATCAGCCATCCAGAGTTGACAAGCGTAACTATGGGTTGCTTCCATCGGTTCAAAGGCATCAATGCTTCAGCGACGGGACCAGGCGAGAACGGTTGCGAAGGTGTGCTGAGTGCTGAGTGCATGGATGTATTGCGCGAAATATCTTTTCCATCTGTGACTTCTGGGGTCTCCATGGACGACATGGAATGTGAGGACATCGACAGCGATCGGATTAGAGATGCTTGTCCCAGCGAAATACTGGCCCCGTTGATTGTGAAGAGTGAGTGTTTGCATCTTTCCTTCTGATAGCGCTGATTGCTAATGAAACAACGCAGCCCCAGTTCTCGGCTTCTCGAACGAGACATGTGATGATAGACCGCCACCAGGAGAACGTGTTCCTGAGCGATACCACACAAGGCTCATGGATACTTATTCAATTAAATACGATCAACGGGACCGTGACGCCGGCAGCTTCGAATCGTATGACGTTTCCGTCAAGCGGCCTGTACCATCCGTGTTCGCGGCTTACCTTGCCGACGGCACGACAGAGACACACGTCGTATGCGTCACACCCGACCACGTGGCTGAGGGTAGCCGAGAACCCGAAGAAGAAGAGCCATGGGATCTCCTGGAGAGCACTGGTGCGCGCAGGTCTTGGGTGATAGCTGGACAGGTGGCAACGGTAGTCGCAATCGCAGTAGTCGTCGCAGGGTACTGAGATGAAAGGCTGATGTTCAGTAGACTAAGGAACAATGGACAAGTGCGAAGAAAAACATTAGCCTTAGCCCGTCAAATGCTTCACCGAAGCTCATACAAACAACCGGTCTATATGATTTTGACCAGACAGCGTGCACATCGCTCCGGCTCTGTATTGCGGCGACTGACTTCCGGGCTTCGTGCAACCAGCGTGTTTCTCCACAGTCACACCATCGAGACCTTTTCGCATCGAAATAGAACCCCCTCGAGGGCTTTTTGGGTGTAGGGCGAAGATCGAGCGCCTGTGCGGTAGATGGGAGTTTGATGCGTCTCTCGAAAGGCTCAGTGATCCTCGTCTGTAACTAGTCGCAGCGCTCGAGGCCCCTCGGAGGGGTTGACGGGACTGTGTGTTGATGGTCTGCGGGACCGGGAGGAGACATTTGGGTCGGGTTGCGGCAGACGCTGTGCTGTGCGCATGCGCCAGTGTAGAAATGATGGATAGCTTCAGGGCGACGCTTGTCTACGCCAGTTGTTGGGTCGAGTTAGCGTGCCAAGGCCGGCTCGTGGAGATTTCCTTCCCCGCCGCCAGCTCCTAACAAAGCGTAAGCCACCATCCTCGATGCCACTGGAGCGACACCTTCGCTACCATTCTGACCACCTCCTACCCCCTCAACTCTATGAACCCATCGCACACCAACGCATCAATGCTTTTTCTAGGATCGCGTTTCATCATGTCCACCAGATCTGAAGTGAGATGCACCGCCGATACCTAGGTAGCCAGTGAGCCACGAGTCTATCCCGTTGGAGACATCGGTGTTGTAATGCGCCTCCTCGCGTGGCTCAGTGCGACCTCCGCAGTCCAGCCCGTCTCAGACCTTCCATCGATGGTACCTCGTGCTTGCAAGGTCTCCTGCATCTCGCATATCGTTGTGGCGCTGGAATTCGCAATACCCGTTCGTCAATCTGAAGATCACGAGCAAAAGCAACGCGGCGATCCACCAGTCGCATGCAGGAGAGAATGCGCCATTCTCCACCCATCCACACGAACCCATCTCACAAATACATCCTGGGAGGGCATTAGACTTCGAAGTTCGTTTTTTCTGTTTGTTCTTTTGGGGCTGTCCTGCAATGCTGCATTGCTACTGCTTCGATTCCAAGCCACAATCTTCACTACTGCTGTTTCGGGCTGCATGGTGTGGAGACAGAGGCGCATCTACTCTCTCACGATGATGCAATCTCCCATCGGAACGAGATCTCGTCTTCAGAGGACTCATGTGTTACCTGCTATGCTCGGTGCGAACTTGGTAGCGTGCGCTGGTATGCGGGAGGGGACGCCCACCGTATTGACCCTGAGGAAGACCCTCCAGAGCCCTAGACTGGCCCCTGGCAAAGAGGGTCAACCTTGAGAAAAGCAGTCGCGTCCTGGAGCCTTCCGAAGCGGTACCTGATAATCCCGTCCCCAGGCGCCCGATAGCAATACTAGAGCGACTGGGCTGTACCATGGAAGGCACTAAAAGCCCTGCAGTGGAGGACTAATCCAAAGGCGCAACGGGAAAACAAAACACCCCGCTCGCGTACCTTGCAGACTATGACAACTCGATTGGCTCCCCACTGTGCATGCGCAGCTTTGCTATCTCTACAGCGACGTCGGCGAGGAGCCGTGAACCACGCGCCTGTGTCTGCGGTGGTACCCCGGGCTGAAACGCCATGTCCAATTCGTCGTACAAGACGCTCTCCTCTAAACATCCCGTGCCCCTCTATTCCTCTCGACCACAGTCCTTTCTTCCTGCCATACAGTCGTTTCACCCGTGTACTTCTCATCAGACATTCAATCGTTTCAATCACCTCACCTTCGCCTGGTCGACAACTCTGCATGAATACACGGAGCAAACAGGACACTGCTACCGTCAGCTCACGCAATGGGTGTCGATGCCAGCGCAGTCCCAACAACAGAAACTCCGCTGCCCTGGCTAGTCCACGACAAGGGGCCCCTTCATCTTGCCATTGTCGTTACGCTGGTCTTGACCGCGCTGTTGGTTTACTCGCTCAGAGCCTTCACTCGTGGAAAGCTCCTTCGCTCCTTCGGCATCGATGATGGACTAATGGTTCTGGCCGCTGTAAGCTCAGTGCAGTTTAATGACATGGCTCATATCCGCTGACACAGAATAGCTATGCACAATAGGAATCTTTATCGCATTCACTGGAGTCGTAGAGCTCGGTCTGGGACAGCAGCAAGACGACTATGTCTTACCCGCCAGCAAGACCGTCCAAATGGGCCCGTGGATGTGGGCGTTGAACTCATTCATCATCTTTGGGCTTGGTCTCGTGAAGCTGTCGGCTGCTTTCACTCTTTTGCCTCTTACAAGTGCTAGACGCCAGTCGTATCTACAGATGGGACGCACCTTCCTTCTCATCTGCCTCATCCGTATGTCTAAATCAACCTAGCTTTCAGGAGCAAAAGCTGACACACCTAGTACTCGTATTCTGGCACACAATTGAATGGTTCACATCGCTTCTTGCTCAGTGTGTACCGCTCGTGGCGGCTTGGGATCTCTCGCTCGATAATACGGCATTATGTATGTCGCAAAGCGAGTCCGAGATTTGGGCCATGGCGAATTACTGTAAGTACAACACTCTTGCCTCCAACAAACAGATCTGACCCATTCGTCTAGCGATCAACACAGCGTCCAACGTGCTGATGGTCGTCGTTGTTTTACCCATCGCCGTCGGTACTCCTTCCAATCTTGGAGCCAAGCTACACATCCTCGCAGTTCTATTATTGGGTCTCTTGTATGTTCTCATAGTTCGCAAAGGTGCCCCTGAAGTATTGGCCGCTAACACATCTGCAGTGTATGCGCTGTGGCCATTATCAGAACCCGAACGGTCTACACCTCTTGGGGTCACGTTGGCCATCGCAACAACTTCGACTTGAATTTCACTACCTGGGGCATGATCGAATTCCTAGCTGCCATGATAGCCGTCAACCTCAGTACTTTGGTGCCTCTTGGTAGAGCGATCCGCGATCCCCTCGATACACCTCGCAAAGCCCCGCGTGTGGCTGCCATCTCTGGCCCCGTCGCCGGCAGCACTGTTCACCTCATTCACGGCGATGTCGACGATCTCGTTCCCAGCTACTCCGAGTCTTACGAACCGGAAATGGATGACTCCTACAACTCGTATAACTCCCGCTATTCTGGCCAAACAGTCATCTACCGCCCTGACACAGCATACTTCCCCTCTCACGGCCATAATAACAACAGCCTAACACGCTTTCACGACGACGAATCCAACCTTGACTTCGACATCGAAGCACCCTCAACCCGATCCAGCCCCCGTAGGGTCACAAAACCAGGACCATCTTCGCGCTTCTCCGTATCTACAGTCAGCACCCGTAGAGTGAGCGACTGGTCACAACTCAGCGACTTTACATACTCTCCACCCAAAGACTCCGATGCCGATTTCGAAAAAGCGATGAGCGGAAGAGCCAGGATCAGTGCGTCGGAGCTCGAAGAGATTGTGAAGAGCCTAGGATTGAAGAGGCAAAGTAGTAACGAGATTTGGGACAAGGAGATCGGTCTCTTTGAAGAAAAAAGCGAAGACGGAGGAAGTTCCGTCGCGCCCACAATATACCTGGAAGACGATGAAGACGCCGTTGACAGTGCTGGAGTCCTATGCACATGCCCAGCACCACGGGTGCGGAACGGCGCTGCAGGTGAATCTGCACTACAAAGCGAAGCAGACTCGAGCGAGATCACCGTGATCCGCATACGTGGGACAGCTAAATGCAGTCTCCACAAACCTCTACCGCGCATTCGATCCCGCGAATGGCTCGCGCGTGGATAAACACGCTACAACAGTTCATATTTCCTTTTCTTAACAGCGGTCTTTCCTTGCACACAACATTTCGTCGCAAACCGCAGTGCCATATTTCGGCCGGAGTCATATACCATCATTAGAAAGATTCTTTTCACAACATCTCATGTATTACTAGCAAGTTGAGATGCAAAGACGCATCTCACTTAGCATTACCTACTCAGTAGCTACCAGAGTCCATAGTCATAATTTCTTTATCTCAATCCGAATCAATCTTGAGTTCATACTATGAATGAGTGCACTTCTACTCAGCCCATCGCTTCTTGACATACTGTGCTTGGTGGCCACCAGGTAGCTCGCTCACCCACGCATCAATCTCCTCTTTGATAACACGCGGAACAGTGCACTTGTTCATCGCGGCGGCATCCTGCGTCTTGAGCGTGGGACAGTTCTGGTAACAAGGCGAGTCGAGAGCGCGTTGAAGTGCGTCGCCTTGCCAGCCGAAGAGGTAATCGCCATGATTCGCATAACCCGTGCTATCAAAACATATCAGTAACAATACCATCTAGTACAACATCCATGGCTTACCCATCGCCGAAACTCCAGACGAATGGTTGACTGCCATCTTCCGGCCAATCAGCCTTGTTGTTGAACTTGCTCGTGTCCCAGATGACTTCGTAGAAGAGCTGACCCATGCGCACGGGGTGGCTGGCTGGGCAGGGGCCGCCGGATTCGAAGGACCCGTATTCTGGGTAGGACATGTGTGCCATGTGGTCTGGAGAGTCCAAGTTGACACCATCCCAGCAGCTAGGGCATGTTAGTAGACTGACATGCTGCATATATAAGAGGGGATGAAGGGAGGAGACGTACGTGGGAAAGCGAACAGCAGTCATGATACCCGTCTTACATGGCTGGGTAGGGAAGTCGAGAGTCTGCGGGTCACGCGTGTTGATAGTGTCCAAGCAAGTGAATGTTAGCTGACGGAAGCGTTCTGCTTCGTCTTTGGTGCGCGCGTTCACGTCGCCGATGAACATGCGGAAGCCGGGTTGGAAAGCCTGCACCTTGGAGGTTTGCTGGAAGTTGTAGAGGCCGTCTTGCATGTAATACACTGTCATGCCTCCATTTACGCCATTGAAGCCTGAGTTGGGGATCTGGGGAACGCGCTTGTATGTACCGTTTCTGGCTTTGAAGTATAGAACGGCTGTCCAGTAGTTCTGCAGAACCATTAGCAATGTCGTTCAGTTGACAGGTGGTTGGTTCAACATACGGAGAAGTCCTCGCTGAACTGGCACGAAGTGCATGTTGACTCTCCCGGCATGTCCTTCTCTGGATCCATGGTGACATTGAAGGAGTTACCTCCAAGAATTTGATGTAAATGCGGCGAGGGAGCCTGGCTTGGTGTGACCAGAGGGTCTAGCCTGTCGATGACTAGCTGAGCGCATGGGAAGCGCAAAAGCGCCGTTGCGGGTGCAACAAGTGCAAGGGCGGTAGCAGTGAAAACCTTCATTATTACAAGGCTGGTGATGTCCTGCTTGAAAGGAGAAGATGGAGGCGGTAAGAGGTATGCTTCATGCTCAGTGATTTATACAACAGTGTGAAATATGCACGCAACACCGCCGGGATCAAGGGTGGTAATGCCGAGCGGGTACGCCGTGTCGCAAAGGCAAAACTCGGTCATGGTCAAGATAGCGATGGGCAGCATCTTACGCTGGATGAAAGCTAATGCGCTTTGGGACTCAAAAGATGAATTTGGATGCACGATGTCGTCGCATGAGTGGGTAGCCTCCACATCAACGCTCCTGGATTACATTGTCGAACGCTCCTCATCCACTTAAATTAACATGACCTATCGTTTCGGGCGCTCATGGCATCCAAAGTGCTGCTGATCGAGTTGCAGATACTTCATCGTCGGCTTGGCCAATTAGCACGATCTCATGATGATGCTGAGCTGGACGTCTTCGGTTGGCGACGGCACCGCTGTGATTGGCAAAGGTATTCCTCGAGCCCGAGTGAGTCCAGTGATGCTACTCTTCGATATTCCACAAGTATTTGGAAGTCTTGTCATGCCGTCGGCAGTTGCATGCAAGTGAGCGGCGGAACGTATAACGCCCCACCTGTACAGCGAGAACTCCGGTTACCAAAGAACTGTGAGTGGTTGATCCGCTTCTCGGATAGGATGATATTCGCGGACGTTGGGACAAGGTTGCGTGAGCCTCAATCTATTCTACTTTGCCGTCGCGCCAAGTTGTGGGGTACCAATCCTTACCATTTGTTTATATTGTCCAACCCCCGTTCCTCATCAACGCGTGCCATTCGTACGGATACGCTGGCATGGTACAAAAGAATTCCGCGTTTGTCATTGGCCGATCATAAGGTGCCCAGCTGAATAGCGACGGAGGCCAAAGGGTTGTAGTCACGTGCTGATCGGATTGTTGAAGCGTGCAGTGAGCCGAGAGAATAGGCTGTTGAAGAGAGTGGGATCTGATCGCAAGGAACGAGCCCTTATCAACCGGGTACGATCCCATGGAAGCAATATAGTCCATGTGGTGCTGTCAGGTATAGACTCCAGAATCTCAAATATCCTTCTGGAACGTCAACCACTTCCGCTCTTCAAACCCGGAAACTTTTGCATCTCTTCTCATTGGACGTCTTTTCGCACGGCATTTCTTCTTTTTACTGGTTAGATCGAAGTCAACCATGAAAACCAGTACTATTCTCGCGTGCTGGGTGTCAGCTGCATCTGCCGCCTTCGACTTGAATCGTGGGGGTGCAGTACTCAAAGCGCCTCAAGGCGACTCGTTTGCCAGCGTAACAGGCACTGTGAGTGACTCTCGTGCTGCATGTGATATGAGTACTAACTTCATATACAGTTCACAGTACCGAACTTATCGGGTAGCAACCGACTCTCGATCTGGGTCGGCATAGGGGACACACTTGAACAGGAGAACGTACTCGGTGGTGGCATCGTGTACAACAGTACGCTCAGAAGCTTCTCTGCATACTTCCCCGGTCCGGTGACAGATACCACTTCGACGGTTCCTGTTGCCAACGGTAATTCAATCACCGTGACAGTCAGCGTGGCTACTGCAGGGGGTACTGTGACGATTGAGAACAAGACGCAGAACAAGAGGACAACACAAACACTCGCAGCTCCGAATGGCGTGGATCCGTCCTCTCTGACTGCGCTGGCGGCAAACTGGTTCGTGCAGGCATACCAGGTGATCCCAGGCCAGCTTGTAGCTACACCGAATTTTGGAATAGTATCGTTTACTGCAGTTTCGGCAACTACTAAGAGCGGCGCGAATGTCCCGCTCTCCGGCGCAGGTCGATATGAGATACAAGGAACCAGCGGACAGGTAAGTTGTTCATGGCGTACCACCCGACCCTACTAATATCTGGTTAGATGTACTCGAAGACAACAGTATCGAACACTGGTATTTCTGTGCAGAGACAGGCGTAGAAAGAAGGTTGCGATAGTGTTGCTCATGTTCGGAACACGATTCGGGAAGTCGCTGCCTCGTCGTAGTCAGTCGAGAATAGATAAGCTTGGGCTATTTCGCTGTTTCTTCGAAATTTCATATATCAAAAAAACGCGTGCAATAAGACAGATTGAATGCGCGACGATGACCGGGAGAGTTGGTGAAGGCCACTGGTGATGATGTGGTGAGTAACGCGCAGGCGATGACGTTCGCTTGGCCTCCCCTCCACATTTCTCGACGCGTCGCGACTTCCACCTGCGTCGTGCGACAACACCGGCAAGATGCGCTTCAAGGCGTCAATACAGAACATCAATACCTTTACGAGTAGGGGCATAGGCCGACACTTCAATCTGCGACTAACCCCTTGTAGAGCTCACGGCGTCGCTCAATTCGCTCGGCCCGCTCGCGTGGGTGAAGCTCAGCGAGGAGCAAGTATGCTTCACCATCATACCAGAGCAGGGCACTCAAGTATGGGCGTGAGTAGACGCCTCGTACCTCGGTGTCTCTCGTTCTAACCGCATGTAGTGTCCTCTCTATTGTAAGCATACCGTCTCATCTGTGACTGGCTCGATGTTAATGCGCCGCGCAGGACTCCATCTTCGAGACCATCAGCGTGCAGTCCGCAGCAAACAACGTCATCAACCTCGAAGTTCCGCTCACTTCGCTGAATCGCGCCCTCAAGTCGGCCCTCAATGCCACGTCGGCCCAGATACGCCTCACCAAGAAGGACAACCTGCCCATGCTTGCCCTCACCATCGTCACCACGACCTCCTCGAATACGTATAGCGCCTTCCCTGCGGCCACAGCCAACAACGATGATGGCTTCGACGCTGCCTTTGACAACGAATTCGGTGGAGGAAACCGCGAGACCATTGTCACGCAGGAGATACCCGTGCGGGTGCTTGCGCCAGACACCGTAGCGCATCTGCATGAGCCCGTCTGTAGAGAGCCAGACGTACACATCATACTGCCTCCTCTGATGCAGCTGAAGAGCATCAGCGACAGGTTCACCAAGCTCGCGCTGGCAGACACCAAGGCAAGCACCGCGACGACGGCATCAAGGACACGGCTAGAGGTGGCCGCCAACATGCACGGCTGTCTCAGGATGAGGATCAGATCCGACGCCATGAACATATCTTCCATCTGGACCGATCTTAGCAATCCAGAACTCGACCCTGGCCACGTCGCTGGTGGAGAGGATGGCGTAGCTGAACACCCAAGCACGCGTATGAAGCAGCTGGGCACGGCGGACGGGCGTAGTGAAGAAGGCTGGGCTACAGTGAGGATCGATGGGCGTGACTGGGGTAAGGTCATGAGTGTGGGTAGGCTGGGGGGACGAGTTATCGCTTGTAAGCCGTACGAACTTCAAATCTGCCAACATGCTGACATTCTCAAGGCTTCTGTCATGAGCATGCACTCATCCTCTACGTTTACCTACCCAACGATAATGGCGATGACGAGTCGGTCCTGACAGTACGTTGCACTCTTCACACCCTCGCTCACCAGGCTGACAATACCGCAGTACTTTATCAGCTCCTACAGCGCATAGCTACCTTCGCGCTCATGTCATCCTCACGAGGCACAAACTAGATACCTTTGCTTACGCGACACCGCATACCTCATCACCACCATCCATCGTACCAGACATATCATCTTGTGGTGGCGTGCGCTACACGTTGACACGTCGACGTCCGAGCCAGATTGACCACAACTCTCGACTGTCTCCAGAAATGCGCATAATTGGTTGTGCTACTCGTGTACGGGCTACAATTGGAGATGGAAGCGTCGGCAAAACTGGCACTCTATTAGCCGAAGGCAGCAGAAGGATGCCTAAAACACCAAACCGCTTGCACCACGCCGAGACAAAGTCTCATGCTTTGAATTGGCTTCTCACGATAAGTATAAAGTCGGTTAATCCTCTCAATCAGGCGTCCGCTTCATAGTTCCCCAAAACACAACATGGATGAATGGAAAGGAGCCCTTTTCAATTTCACCTTCACCGCCTCTTTGCCTTCCCACCCATCTGACTTAAGCGACGTTTCTGCAGTCAATACCGACAGCTCGTGCATCATCACAAATCTTGCGACTGAACTCGTTCATCATATCATCGACTACATACCTCCCGCATCTCAGATCGACTTCGCATATACCTGCAAGCATTTATTCGCATGCTCTGCAGACGTTCTCAAACGCCATCGCGACGCTCATACAAAGTATTGTATTTCGTCTGATATTGACCCAACGACTGTTCCCACACTCCTCCGAAGCGCTTACGGATATGGTGACCCAATTCTAGCCTGGCACGTTCGAAGTCTGGAGCTTTGGTATGATCGCACAGGATGGGATGCATGGAAGACGCTTGACTTCGATGTTCCAATCGATCAGAGCTCACGGTCGCCAACAACCTGGGAGTTCATACCCGGCGAAATCGACGACTATATGGAGCCATTAGATCAAGCACAGAGTGATCTTATTCCCGGTGCACGCGCTGAGGAAGCACGTACACAAATTATTGATGGCTACGACATCTACCTGAAAGCTCTCCTCGTTGCAAATTGTCCTAGGCTTCGAGACGTCAAGTTTGTCATGACGGCGCGGGATGGGACGGTATCGAGGTCATGTCTCGACTGGCTTCAAACTTTTATCAACGACTCTCACAACAAGAAAACTTCTTGGGGACCTGGCCTCAAAAATCTTCGTTCAGTCGCTGTTGGTCTGCCCACCGGAACTTGGATGGATGCGGCCTATCATCCCAATACCTGGCCTTGCAACACAGGATTTCTTGTTCAGTTCCTCCGTCTCCCAAACCTCGAAAAGATATACTTTAGAGATTGCGTAGGTGATTTCCAAGACAGGACGCCCTGGAGGAACCTTCTACCTGCTGGAACCTCCCCTGTCAAACATCTCTTCCTGGACAGTTGTGGGGAATTTGGGCAAGAATTCCTCACTGCTCTTACTGCCGTCCCATCAGGACTCATCACAGCCTGTTTCCGCGCCGGCGAGGCTCCTCGACTCGAAGACGCGGACGAACTCGTTCGCAATCTCGGCACCTACCAAGGGAACACCCTGGAAAGTCTGATGTTCTATGACTATCATGACAATCCCCATAAGATCCACGGCGACCGCTGCGCAGCCTTCCGCCCAGAAGAACTCAGCAACATGAGGAAATTAAAGCACCTCTGCATGGACATCCAAGACATTGAGCTCGAGGCCTGCTACCAGAGAGACGACAGCGCAGAAGATTGGGAGAGCGACGGAGCGTATCTGGAACGCTGCTTCCTGGAGAGCGTATGTAACTACGAAGCCCTAGTTCTGTGGGGATCGCTCGGCGGATCTCACATCAAATGGGAACCGAACGAGGAACAGGGCTTTGAAGATGCCATTATCTCTCTGATCGGAGGACGACCTAGACGAAAAGATACTCACACAAATGAGAGAAATCGCAAGTATAATACACTGTCTCTGTTTGGAGTCCCAGGGTCCGGAATCGGAGCGACGAAAGCTGTGTATCTGGAGAACGTGGAGAAAAGCAGTGGGCCCATTACTACTTTTAGTCCTGGGCGCGGAGGAGAACCCTCGCCGAACGAAAAGAGCAAGGTCTGGTTCCGTCGCGCGATCGAAGTAGCGAGGAAGAGGGGCAGGGATCTGCATACGCTCACGAATCGCACCAAGCCGCGCCATCAGATTGAGTTTCCTGAGGCGCCTGATAAGTACGACCTCAAGAGCGGTCCGTGGGGTGAGAGACCAGCAGATTGGGTCTTCAATGTGTATACGGGTCGTAGGGAGCCCAAAGGCTGTGGCAAGTGTGGGAACTGCGATGTTTGCTTTGGGTATTACAGTAAGGAAATGTGGGATGGGCTGGACAAGGAGCTGAGAAGAGTGAGGTATGATGGGAGAGATGAGAGTTAGATCAACGATCAGGATCGAATGAGAAGTTGAGAAAATGTTGCGAGAGATGTCTGCTTACACCAAACGTCATCTATTCGTCTATTGGGCACACGAAATGGAGGACGCAAATATGCTCATACCCAGCACAAGAAAGAAGAGATTGTTCACGTAGTAAATATAAGTGTCACGTCGAAGAAGACTACTGCACACATCTGGACAGAACAGTCACATTCGAAGAATACAATGTATTCATCATCAACCCATCAGCCACCATCTACTTCCCCGCATTATCAACATGCTCCCTAAGCTCCTTCTCATTGTCCTTTGCCAGCACACCTCCATTCGATTGCGTAGCGACAACCGAGCTCCTCCTCCTCTCCGCCTCATGCGCCTGCTCCGTATCCGCGTAGTCCACAAGCAGCTCGCCCTTCTTGCCATAGCGATGCGGCAAGTTATGCGCAATACCAACGACATCAAACGGACCGCTTGCCGCGTGAAATATCTCGTCCATTTCCTCGAGAGACCGGTATGCAGTCTCTGGAAAGAAGAAATATACCGAGGGTACCATTGCAGCGTTGATAACGGCGAAGATAATGTAGGTCTGGTAGCCAATGTTTGCGAAGGCAGGGGGCGTAATCATTACGACGAGGAAGTTGAAGATCCAGTTCGCTGTGGTGGAGATGGCGTTGGCGGGCGCGCGGATGGATAGTGGTGTAATTTCTGCGGGATACAGCCATGTCATGCCTAGCCAGCCGATGGCGAAGAAGGAGTTGAATACGAAGAGGAAGACGGTGGCGAGGAGACCCAGGCTTGTGTTGCCAATGTTGCTGGTTGCGCCTGCTAGCACGGCCATGGACATGGACATGCCAGCCGCACCGAACATCATCAAAGAGCGGCGTCCAAACTTCTCGATTGTGAAGATGGCGATCCAACTAGCCATCCAGTATTCGGTGCCGTTGCAGGCGGATAGAAGGCGACTGAGGAAGGGCGAGAGACCGATGGAGTTTTCGAAGATGGTTGCGGCGTAGTATGTTACCTAAAAATTGAGGTCAGAACGGGCTGGAATAGACGCAGTAGTAGTAGTAGTAGGTTACCAGGTTGATACCAGAGATCTAGAGCATTGTTAGTTACCGTCTCTTGTCCTGTTGGAAAAGCGAAACTTACCTGTTGGAACATCTGGTTGACATAGCCCAACACAGTGCGGTGGAAGTTGCGGTTTTTGTTCCTCTTGAAACAATCGCGGAAGCCACCACGCGACATCTCCTCAGTAACATCCTTGACAGCCTGGAACTCGGCTTCGACCTTCTTGTCGTCCATAGGAAGGTCGCTCAACGCAGCCAAAACTTCCAAAGCCTCTTCCTCGCGACCCTTCAGTACCAACCAACGCGGACTTTCGGGAAGACCAGGAATCATAACGAGAATGAACAGGGCCAGGATGATTTGGAAAGCGATAGGGAAGCGCCAGGCGATGCTGCTGGGTTCGAGGAAGGAGAAGCCGAGATCGAGCCAGTAACTAAGCATGACGCCGAAGACAATCATTGAGCCTTCAATCATGACCATCTGCCCTCTGCGATGCGGTTTCGATGTCTCGGACTGCCATGTTGGGACTGTGCTTGTGTTCATGCCGTTGCCAAAACCGGTAATCCATCGTCCGATGATGAGCTGTGCGAGTCCGTACGATGCTGTTTGGAGGATGGCTCCGACTATCATGATAGCGCTGCCGATGAAGATGGTCTTCTTGCGCCCGAGCATATTACCGAGCCAGATGGTTGCTACGGCGCCGAAGAAGCAGCCCAGTGTGTAGGCACCGACTAGACGGACATTAGCGACGTTGGGCTTAGATGCTGAGCGATCTTACCTGTGATGGCTTGGATAGTCGCGGCATGGCTTTTCGAGCTTCCTGGGGGTGGGTTGTTGCTGTCGATTTCGGGGAAGTGTTTGATGAAAGAGCCCAGCGTGAGCAAACCGCCCATTACACCCTGATCTGAGCCAATGTTAGAATTGATACCAACAGTGATGGCATGAATGCTTACCATAACCAAAGAGCGCGAAATCTGTGCCTGCTATCACAGCAATAGCAATGTTGAGCTTAGTGCCCTTGAGGCCATAGAACTTGCCCATCTTGTTTAGTAATACCAACGATCAATGCGTGTCGTGCCAAACAACGAGGTAAGAAAGGCGTTGCAACAAAACAACAACACAAGAGGCCAGCTCGCTTCCACTTCGTGCGAGGTGCGATCGATGAGGTACGACAGCAGGCGCGACGACCCTCTCTTAAGAAAATGTGAAAGGACAACCGCAACTCTCTGCCACCAATGTAACAGTAGAGTCCGTCCTCACGCCGCCAACCCAGCAATAACGCCGAACCGCCCTGTCTACCGGCGTCATCCCCACAGTTTGCTCTCGACGATGACGTTTGGTCTGGAGCCGCTGGTGATCCCAACCCCGTGGAGTTTGGCGTGCGGAGAAAGACACACTACCCGATCGCACGGGGATGCCAGGGTCGCCCTGTGTGATTCGTCGCAATTCACCAGTCAGCTCGCAGTCGCCCATCGGAATTACCGCAATAGGTACTTCCGGCGCATTATGATGTCGCTAACAGGGTGAAAGTTCGCGACACGGGCGCACCAAGACGGTGTTTCGCGCCGCTTTGGTGCTTGGTGGCTAAGCATCGCGAAGGCGCGAAAAGCTCCGGCCTAGTCCGATGCTTCGGCTCGTCTAAGAAATTGCTTGGGCGGCTTGCCAAAAAGCGTAGTTCCGCACGTCAGCACTTGTGGGAATAACCTGGGAAATGCCTAAAAATGCCCTCGTTTCGAAGGGACGGGTGTTGTCAAACCCAAGTCTTCGGGGAGGTGTTTGGTTCTACGGTAGGTGTGCCGGTTGAAGTATCCAGCTTGCGGGATTTACGATCATCAGGGACAGGGTGCGTCAACCACGCGACAGCACCAAGTTTTCTCGGTTAGGATTAAGGCTGTGGAGCCGATAGCTTGGGGGAGGCTTCTTTGTGGAGAACGCGCTGTTGGAGTTGCACTGTGGGTGTACTAAAACTTGCACGTGAGTCCTTTCGATGCTGCCCAGGTGGCCCACTGCATTCTTGGAGTAATGTTCACCGCGAGTATCCATGCGACATCTCGATCTTGTTTTAACACCCGTTGCATTTTCTATCTGATGCCGCTAGCACGGCCACCTGCATCTCTTTCACACGCGTCTAACTGGTGTGATGATGCAAGAAGTAGACGGATTCCAACGCACATGCATACGTTTTCGATTCGAAGGTGTTCAGAGTCATTCAAGGTCCATTGTTTGCCTGGAATGACTAGTTGTTATATCGATGAAGTGGTCTGGCCAATGCTTCCATTCTTAAGGCCCCCAAGCGTTACGCTCCGTCTCCATCAACTCATCGATCGGTGCTGTTAAGCTTACTGGCCGCATCACCCCGTTCATATTCGACGCTGAAATACTGCTACTGTGCGTGTCTAGATACTGATTGTAGTCAGCCCCGAATGAACTAGTGGCGACCCCCGTTGCGCCCTTCTTTGTAGGAGATGGGGCAGGTGTAGGAGTCGCAGAGACGACAGGCTTTTGCAGTCGCCTTTTCTTGTGTTCTTCTATAATCATCTGCGCTCGGCTTTTGTTCAGTTTCCAGGTAGCCAGATTTCTTGCCGGTAACACCGTCCTCTTGAACATACCTATCCCGGCGATGACAGGCTCCACAAGGCCCATGCCGACGTAAGTATCAGCCTCCCATACAGGCGCAGAATAAGATTTCAATAGCCCCTGCTTTTCGTCATCATTCTCTGTTGCATGGTAGACGGGTCGCTTCAAAGGATCAGTTGACGCTGTTACAAAGTCGCCGAAATCTTCGTCGTTTAGCTTAGTGGGCTTGGATTGGGGAGTACTTCGCCGAGGAGGAGATTCATTCGTTGGGGGCAGGTCTGTCTCTGAGATAGAAGACGGACTTATTCTGGGACCGGCAAGTGCGCAATGATCTTCCCAGGCGTTCTGGACAGATTCAGCTTCACTCGCCGCGTCCAGATTTCGCGAAACGCCCATTGAAGAATCGACTTGATTTGACGACATGGTATTTGTATGGGTTATGTGGTTGATTGATTAGAGGTTTCGATTCTTCGAAACGGGGAGGAAGCGCCTGCTTGGATGTTGTGATATTCATTCACTTTGCTGACCATTGTGAATACTAAACGTGCCGTCGCTCATGACGTTCCAGAGTGAATATATAAGGGATTGAGGCATTGTGTGAAGAGATGGTATCAAACAGAGCATCGCTGCAGCATGCGCCTCTGGCGCGACGACGAATTGCTTTTCCTGTGTCATTAAGACGTGAACTTCACATCCCATCGCTGAACGCCAATAGTGTGACAATGCTAGAGGTATCATACGCGCATGGCTTCTCTCGCCGCGGGCTCTCTCTCCATCTCGTATTCGATCTCGCGTCTCGGCCCCTTGGAGTCCTTCGATGGCTTTTTCTTGGGCTTGGGTGGTGGGCCAGCAGGGCGTTTGCGCTTGAGATTTGCCAGCGTCTTCTTGAGAGCCTCTGTGTCCTCATCTGCAGACTCATCCTCCTCATCTTCTTCGCTGCCGCTACCGCTCTCGTCATCTTCGTCGCCTGAGCCTTCGTCGGGACTCTGCCCGCCGATCCAGTCTTCAAAGTCCTCCATCTCGTCGTCGGATTCGCCCTCAATGTCGCTCACGTATTCGACTTCGCCGACACCGTTCTCCATCTCGTGTTCGTATTCGTTCTCGTCTTCCTCCTCGATACCTTCGTCCAGATCCTCGTCGCCCTTGAGCTGGCCCTCTTTCTGCAGGCCGCGCATGACACGCTTCCAGACGTTTGGTTCAACGTTGATCCTGTCTTGCAGTTAGTCTCAAACTCAAACACGAAGTGAGCAAATGCTTGACAGTGTGACGATGCTCATTAAAAAATTAGAGTGTTGTTGTTGTTTTTGATCCTCATCGAAGGATCTCAGGGTTAAAAAGCGAATAATCATGGCAGCAGTGGGGAGAGGGGGGTGCACGTACGGTCGATCACCGTATGCGCCACTACGCAGACGGTCAATGAGAACTCTCTCGATGGCGCGCTCGACCTTGGCGGCTGCGAGAGCTTTGCGCTCACGGCCTTCCTCTCGTCGGCGGACCTTGGGTGCCAGTCTGGGAACTAGGCGCTCTCCTAGACGCTCTTCTTCCTTGGCCAGTTTCCGTATCCTTATGTTGACTTGAGTAAGACGAGTCAAGCGCTGCTTGTTCTTGTGCTTAAGGAACTTGGGGAAGTATGCGAGGTGCTGGTCGACCATCTCGAGCGCTTGGCTATAGTTCTTAGGAAGCTTTATCTTTTCCCACCATTGCGACGGAAGATGTGCGCGCTCGATCGCTTTGATGTATAGATACAGCTCGCCGGTCGCGGGATCTGAGCGAATCGTGGCATAGCGTGAGTTCGCGAGGGGGCACGACTGCTTGGAGCAGTAACCTGATACGTTGTGTTCGTTTCTGCAGAAAGTTTGGTCTTTTGTGGTTTTGAGTTCTGAGTAGACAAGGTCAGCATTATCTTGTATGCATATTTACAGAGGCTCACGCACTGAAGCTGCAAAAATCGGTGCCAATAACGGACCATACAAGATCGTCCGAGGCCATGGCGGCAATGAAGTCCTTCCGCGGACGCACGTAAACACAGAAGCGAGGATCCCTTCAACAATAGTCTTTCAGCGCGGCGAAAAGCGAACAGAGGGTCCTTCGGGGTATCGTGTGTGCGTTCTGGCGCGAAGGGAACAGGTGTTGTAGTAGCAAAGTAGACATGCGACGATCTCAAGAAATTATTATCTTAGCGCGTGCACGGGCCACTGCGGAGGTGCAGCGGAGCTACCATCAAGTACAGATGCGACGACGAGGTAAACCTCAACTGGCGGAATGAGAGCCGTCGTCTCATTTCTCCGTCGCAATCCTTCCAATCAATTGAGAGCGCCTTGTTGTCCAATTCGCACCGTATTTCATTCGCCCCATGTCGCACGAATCGCATCGCTCCACCATGAACCCCTCCATGTGCAGCGCGCCTTGACATGCCAGCCGCGTCTGTACCATACAGATAGCAAGGAACCGACGATATATGCGCTTTCTACTGCTAGTGGAAGGGCAGCGATAGCTGTCATTCGAGCCTCGGGTCCGGCATGTAGGCAGGTTTGCACTCTCCACCCCATGATCGACTTCCCTTCCTTACGCTTCGTAGATATACGAAGGGCTATGTCCCTCTACAGCGTTTCCGAAGCCTCGTCAGGCAACCCTGCGCAAGCTATATACCCCACATGTCCCCCCTTCGCCCGCAACGATACTCGACTCCGGTACCCTCGTACTCTACTTTCCCGCGCCCAATACCGTGACCGGAGAAGACGTGCTCGAACTGCACGTGCATGGCGGCCCGGCTATCGTACGCGCAGTACTGTCAGCCATACCTGAATGCGCGAACATACCCAAAGTTCGCACGTCGAAGCGCAAGGGGATCCGCTATGCTGAGCCTGGGGAGTTCACACGGCGCGCTTTCGCCAACGACCGAATGGATCTTCCCCAGATCGAATCGCTAGGAGAGACACTGTCTGCCTCGACTGAGCAGCAACGCAAGATCTCAGTGAGGGGCACAACCTCCTCACTGGCAACACGATACGAGCACTGGCGCATGCTGTTGCTGCAGGCCCGGGGCGAGCTGGAGGCCTTGATCGATTTCTCCGAAGACCAACACTTTGACGAATCACCTGCTGTCCTATGCGCCTCCGTCGCAACTCAAGTCCGTGCCTTACAGGTGCAGATGGAGGCGCACGTTGCCAATGCCGTTCGTGGAGAGATGCTGCGCAATGGCATTAGCGTTGCGCTTCTCGGTGCACCCAACGCAGGCAAGAGCAGTTTGCTGAATCGCATTGTTGGAAGAGATGCCGCCATCGTCTCTGAGGAAGCCGGCACAACGCGCGACGTGGTTGAGATAGGGTTGGATCTGGGCGGGTGGCTTGTCAAGATTGGAGACATGGCCGGCCTTCGCCAGGCTGGTGTCGCAGGTGCGACCGTCGTTGGGGCCGTTGAACAGGAAGGCATCAAGCGCGCAAAGCAACGAGCACTCGAGTCAG